AGGTGTTTTAGTGAGGGTTGTTTCCGATCTCCCACATGTGTTACGTGAGGTTTATTTCAGACGTCCCGCGTGTTTTAGTGAGGGTCGTTTCCAATCTCCCACGTGTGTTACATAAGGTTTATTTAAGACGTCCCAGTATCTCCCTCGTATTTAATGTGGTTTATTTCGTGTGTCTCACAAACGTTCAGTAGGGTTTACGACACTTTGTGGTTGAATTGGAACCTAGAAAGTCTAGAAATGATCGCTATGTCAGAAAGTCCTGCTAACGTCCGTCAGATGGTGTTATTTCTGCCTGTTTTCACACAATAGACCATTTAACCGGACTAAAATGTGTTCATCCCTGAGGGGTTCAAGGCTAATCTGAAGAATATACATAACCTTTTGTCATTGAGTACTGGGTTATTCTTGGAATTTAGAATCTGCTAGTTTAACACCTCAAGGCGATTACCAACGGCTAGGCATCAGTAGTACACAATGCTATTCAGCAGTATACATCTTACTTGTCGCTGATCCCATATAAAGATGGCCGGAGGCATTGCTAATGTGGTGTGTATAATGAGGCCCTGCTTTCATATTGCTGAAGTGAAATATGTGATTAACCCTAATTTCATAGTAAGAAATCGTACAACTTTATACTACTTCTGTTTTTTGCATATAGCGACGTTTCAAAGTAGATTCTTACTCCGTTATCTGCAGCTTATATGCAATAAGCCAGAAGTTGTTATCCATAAAGTTGTACGTTTTCTTACTTACTCGCCGACTTCGAGAATGTCAGTCAAACACCTGCTTTCTTACCATGTGTCGCTGGTTTCCATTGATGCTTTCGAAACCTTTGACTGTAATAACAAGGTGTACTGAGTCACTACTGACCTCATCTCCCGGATCCCGTTTTACGCAGAACAGTGTTGGGGTTGCGACTATTTTATATCTGTGCTATATTGATCCCAGTTACGATATCCATAGACCTATGCTCGCTTTGAGCGGTGTTAGTGTTCGTGTTGCCTTATAGCCCTTGTTAATAACATTCACTTATTTGCCTATTCTGAATGACGTTGGACCTATGACTTGACGAAGTCAGATGACGTCAGATGAACAATTCTTGACGTCATTCGCAGTTTCAACACAGTGATACGACGTCTGTACCCTCTAACTGGGCCCAGAACGACTATATTTATAACTAGGGCGTGCCATGGCGAGTGTGAATCTGTCAGTACGATGCAAAAGCAATAATTAACAACGGTCTTCCTGTAAATATAGATTATTACACTTGAACTAATTTGCCTCTGTTTGAGAAGAATATATCCTATTCATTGCAAAATAGAGACATCAACGGTTAACCAAAGCAATTGAATGTAAAGTCGCTTTTGAACAGGAATAACTTTATACCATGATGATTGACAAGCCATTTTGAAGGCGGTTACATCCGTTGCGTGAAAGATATTAACATGATTGATAATTCAAAATTGTATTGCAATAAATGGAATTGGCAGGCCTGAGTGGTAATATACCAATACAGTTTACATTGTTTGCAGCGCAGCTGGACGTAACATCACCTAAGAACGTATGTATACCGGGAATTGCATGGCCCCATGGGGACCGGGGTTACACTGGGTCCCTGACCCTTGCTTGTTGTAATAGGCCACTGATTTCGGTCGGGCGTCCTCGCTTTACCGTAACAAAACGACGGTTTTCGACGTTGCTCACAATATCAACCAATTGTTTGTCTTGCCCTGACTCGATTATGTATATATACGGAATAGTGTTGTCTACGGCGTAAACCAACCAACAAAACACCTTCAACGTGTAATTATGTTGAAAATTTTCAAATAATTTTGTTTTATATTTTAAGAGCTGTGGGGTAGCCCAGTGGTGAAAGTGGTGGAATATTGCTTAAAGCGGCGTAACTCACTCACTCACTCACCCACCCAACCACCCACCCACCCACCCACCCACTCACTCACTCACTCACTCACTCACTCACTCACTCACTCACTCACTCACTCACTCACTCACTCACTCACTCACTCACTCACTCACTCACTCACTCACTCACTCATTCATTCACTCACTCACTCACTCACTCACTCACTCACTCACTCACTCACTCACTCACTCACTCACTCATTCACTCACTCACTCACTCACTCACTCAGACCGAGCTGGAATAGTGTTGTCTTCTGCGTAAAACCAACAGTAAAAATCTTAAACATGAAATTATGTTGAAATTACGTCTTCCTTAATGTTTTGATAATGACTTTGTATAGTGTATGTGGCGGCCCAGAGTGCTCTTACAGTAAATGCAAGAAATTGCAACCGGTTTCTGTGGACTTCACAGCGTTTTATCGTCATGTATTAACATCGCCTTCCGTTGTTTCGTTATAAACAATGCCGTGTAATCACGGTGATGAGACTATAGATTTGTTATGTGAAGTATCAGTTGGCCAAAGAAAGCAAGCTGTTAAAATAAATAGTTCCGTAAGGAATCAATACAAATTCATTTGCTAATTAGTTGGGGAAGAGTGATGGATACACCTGCGAACAATCATCACTTTCCGATGGATCGGGGGGCTCATCATCCAGGGGTCAAGGATGCTCATCACGTTCAACTATTGTTGCTCATATTGGATCGATCGATCAATTTTCTTCATAAGATTACAGCCTAAAGAGCAACCGGGCACCTGTTGCTGATATGGAAGTCGTAAGATGCAATTACCGAAACCTAACCTTGGCGATAACGCCAGCGAATTCTCGCTACAATACAATCGCAATCGTTATTTGTGTCTAAATATTCTAAGTGGACGAATTTCCTTTGTTGGTCTTGCCATAGTGAAAAACTTCTTTATTTTCTGGGGAATCTTAGGCACGCTTGGAGCACAATACACATTAATACAAGATAATACTATAAATAGAGGAATTTGTGGACTTGAAGTAATTGTATCAAGGTAATTTATTGAATTTGCACGTTTAAAAAATAAAATACAAAGGACACTACTCAGTACCCACAGTGCGTTAATGCGGACCCTTATCACGCCGGTCGATTTCACTGCGAACGGTACTGTAAGGACTAGCGAGGTACCACTGTATGTCAAATGGGCACAGCTACTACACGCGGCAACTGAAGGGTCGGTCAACTTGGCTCCAATGGAACTATACCATAAGGACTAGCGAGATACCACAGTATGTCAAATAAGCATAGCAACTCATCGCGGCAACTGAAGGGTCGGTCAACTTGGCTTCAATGGAACTATACCATAAAGACTAGCGAGGTACCACAGTATGTCAAATAAGCATAGCAACTCATCGCGGCAACTGAAGGGTCGGTCAACTTGGCTTCAATGGAACTATACCATAAAGACTAGCGAGATACCACAGTATGTCAAATAAGCATAGCAACTCATCACGGCAATTGAAGGGTCGGTCAACTTGGCTTCAATGGAACTATACCATAAAGACTAGCGAGATACCACAGTATGTCAAATAAGCATAGCAACTCATCACGGCAAGTGAAGGGTCGGTCAACTTGGCTCCAATGGAACTATACCATAAGGACTAGCGAGATACCACAGTATATCAAATAAGCATAGCTACTCCACGCGGCAATTGAAGGGTCGGTCAACTTGGCTCCAATGGAACTATACCATAAGGACTAGCGAGGTACCACAGTATATCAAATAAGCATAGCTACTACACGCGGCAAGTGAAGGGTCGGTCAACTTGGCTCCAATGGAACTATACCATAAGGACTAGCGAGGTACCACAGTATATCAAATAAGCATAGCTACTCCACGCGGCAATTGAAGGGTCGGTCAACTTGGCTCCAATGGAACTATACCATAAGGACTAGCGAGGTACCACAGTATATCAAATAAGCATAGCTACTCCACGCGGCAATTGAAGGGTCGGTCAACTTGGCTCCAATGGAACTATACCATAAGGACTAGCGAGGTACCACAGTATATCAAATAAGCATAGCAACTCATCACGGCAATTGAAGGGTCGGTCAACTTGGCTTCAATGGAACTATACCATAAGGACTAGCGAGGTACCACAGTATATCAAATAAGCATAGCAACTTATCACGGCAATTGAAGGGTCGGTCAACTTGGCTCCAATGGAACTATACCATAAGGACTAGCGAGATACCACAGTATATCAAATAAGCATAGCAACGCATCACGGCAATTGAAGGGTCGGTCAACTTGGCTCCAATGGAACTATACCATAAAGACTTGCGGGGTACCACAGTATATCAAATAAGCATAGCTACTCCACGCGGCAATTGAAGGGTCGGTCAACTTGGCTCCAATGGAACTATACCATAAAGACTTGCGAGGTACCACAGTATATCAAATAAGCATAGCTACTCCACGCGGCAATTGAAGGGTCGGTCAACTTGGCTCCAATGGAACTATACCATAAAGACTTGCGAGGTACCACAGTATATCAAATAAGCATAGCTACTCCACGCGGCAATTGAAGGGTCGGTCAACTTGGCTCCAATGGAACTATACCGTAAGGACTAGCGAGGTACCACAGTATATCCAATAAGCATAGCTATTCATCGCGGCAACTGAAGGGTCGGTCAACTTGGCTCCAATGGGACAGACCGTAAGGACTAGCGAGATACCACAGTATATCAAATAAGCATAGCAACTCATCGCGGCAACTGAAGGATCGGTCAACTTGGCTCCAATGGAACTATACCATAAGGACTAGCGAGGTACCACAGTATATCAAATAAGCATAGCTGCTCATCGCGGCAATTGCAGGGACACTTTTTAAACGCGTTAAGTAGTTGGTTTACAAGATGACCTACCGAGGTGCAACTCGCTGAGATGTTCACGGTTGTGATTCTTAAACCTTGATTATAGCCTTTTTTCATTCAGCGCCATACCCGTATTTCCACCCTGAAGCAGATTCAAAATTGGGCTATTTTGGCTTATAGTGAAGCTGTTATGCTGCTATTGTTAAACGTACAATGTACGGGGCATCCGTCAAGGTTGTTTCCTACAGCCATTGTTCTCAGCGGTAACTGTAATACCTGTTAATTCCGCATGCCACGGCCTCCTGTAGCCCCGCCGTGGAGTCAAGACAGATATGTGTGACGTACCAGTTGTTATCATGTCGGGAGATCAATACGACTTATGATGATCAGCACACACGAACAGGAGTAAGGTGTCAGCAGTGTACTGCGTTGTCTTGGAGTTGGAACATCAGGACAGGCTGGGACAGATAGCGGAGACATGCTACCTCAACCACTGGGCAGAAGGGATGCGTTGTGATTCTTGGATGGCTGGATACTTGTAGAGGTACTTGGATGGACGAATACTTGTAGAGGTACTTGGATGGACGAATACTTGTAGAGGTACTTGGATGGTGGACTGTTTATTAGTAAGGGGCTACGGAAGGCGCGGTAGTCGAAGGCACATCTATTCGCCGTTGAGTTGCGTTCCGTAGCTGTGTCAGAGTCAGCTGATCGTAGGTTCAAATTACAGATTCTTCCAATGATGACCCTCGGTCTACCATCGTCATACTCATGCACGTCGGTTTAATCAAGGAGTGAAACAATCCTGACCTGAATCACTTCGGGCTTTCCTCCAACGCTAATCTGACATGCCGCAATATAATTAAAATACTGTTTATAGAGACGTTAAGCCTGACTCACTCACTAGCTTAGTGGTTCATGGTACGGAGAAACATATTCCTAGTGATCATTGTTTTTTTTGTTATTATCTCTCATAAGTCGTTTGGGTACATTCAACATTATGTGGGGGCACGATTCGCTGTGCAGAGTTGCGTCCCTCGGGCACGCCAGAAACCTATAATTGTGGGTTCGAATCCCGGTTCGCCACGATTATGTTCCTTGGTTTGTCAGCACCATACCCGTGCTCGTGGTAAACGTCTGAGACCTGCATCACTTCGGGCTTTCCTCCCACATTAAGCTGACAGGCCGCGATATAACTGGAATACTGTTACAAGCGGCGTTAGACCAAACTCACTCACTGAACATTATGTGATACTAAACGTTTTGTTGTTGCCCACTTGATATGTTATATGCACCCTAGCCGTAGCATAGTCGTAACGTTGTTGTAGCGCTGTTGTAGGCTCGTTGTATCTTAGTCGTTGCGTCGTCGTAGCGGATTCGTCGCGGTATTGCTGCTTTCACACGAAGATTCACTTTCCTAGTTTCTTAGAGATGAAACTCGAATTATGCTAAGTGGTATACGCTGCCTTTAACACATACATTTGCGAAAGCATGCATTGCAGGAACATGTCTGTAACATATTTACTTCATTGCATCGTTCCAGAAACTGACCTCATTGTAACCAGAGTCTTAACTCTGACACTGTTTGATTGGAACTAGTCCCTGTTTCCAATATCAATTAAAAATAATCATATACAACATTAGAGATGTATATTTTCTAACGTCCCTGGTGTGGCCCAAATGCATAAAAATCCCGCTGGAAACAGTTTCTTATTAGTGTTTGGTACAATTTATCTTATTATTATTTTGTGAGTGAGTATTGTTTTACTTCGTTTTTAGCAATATTCCAGCAATATCACGGCGGGGGGGGGACACCAAATATGTATAGTTTTGTGAGCATTAAAGTATGTGGTATTTATTTTAGTAATTTAATTTTTACACTTTATCTTAATAAAATTAACCATAAGCAATGACTTATAGACGATACGATTGTTTTGTGGATATCCCTTGACAATGTATCAGGTATGCCTTCAACAATGTATGTCAATCTATAAATGCTAAACAAAGATAGCGCATGCTAACCTACTGTCTAGCGCACTTCTAATCCCCCGCATGGGGTAACTGTATCACTAGGATGATGGCCATATGTGCGTCACCTGCAGCACGTTATTTGTAACAACGCTACAAGGACGACTTGGGATTCGCGTGCAGCCAGTGGCAATTGCAGATAGGAGAGCTCTCGTCTTTACTGCTGCGACCTGAGTGACTCACTAGGTAGAGTCTTACGCCACCTTTAGCAATAGCCTAGACTAACATCTAGTCTCGGAAATGAACATATCGTACAGAAAAAATTAGTTGTTAAATTATCTTAATAACAATTTAATAAAAAGGAGCCCAGAGACTTTCTTCATTTTCAGATACTGCAGAAATCTAGACTTGCCAAACATTATAGACTTGCATGGTCTGTATTTGATATATTTGTATCAGGGTCTGTAAGACAGTATAGCCATAGTCCAGCAAGATCTCATATTGTATCCAAGTGGTGTATCGAACCCGGACGTAGGGCGTGACGAGAGAACGCTTAAGCCACTCGGGTCCCCAACCGCCTTGCAACCTTGAGCCAGCCACTCTGTATATAATACGACCTTTAGTCCTTATAAGAATCCCGCTTACTAATTATGTTTGACTTGCAAATCTTACCATTTCTTTACTTTGTGCAATAATGCTTCTTATCACAAAACCATTACTAATTTCAAATCGTGCTGATGTTGCATATGTAATATATACTGATGATTTTCATTTCGATGTAATTGCTATGAGCATTGAACGTTGCCGTATTTATAAGTCGTACCAAAAGAAAACACTAAAAACAAACGGACAGTCCATTTAAACTACTGTTAATTAACTAGAAGTGGGCTTAACACATTATACCCATGTGGAAACTCCAGTCCGGAACCTTCGGCGTGACGAACAACGCTTTAACACAAGCATATCCCTCCACGTTACCATCATAGTTACCTATAGGCGGTTATCATTACAAACACATGGGTACTATTCTACTGCTAGTCAATCATGAGGACACAGGATTACAGTGAATGATAAGAAGGTTTGATCTGACCTTGGCTTTAACTCCACCCTCAATATTGTATTGCAGATGACGATCGACTCAGTGATGTAATGGCGGCACGAGGGCGAAGTCGGGAGACGCCATATCAGGATTTTACAAGAATTAAAAACTCTGTGTTTATCAGGAGAGCCGCCAGGGGACATTTGGACCGAGATGATCTTTTCACTGACCCTTCATTCCCGCCGGATTGGTCGTCCTTGACCTACGTGTACAGCGGGGATGACAAATATGAAAGAACCGTTTTTAGGAGACCCACGGTGAGATATGTTGTCATTGGCTTGTTCACGCCTAGTTTCACTGTTTTCATACTTGTGAAGGTCCCCTAGCAACGCATTATTTATTCCTCGTAAATCACGATGGCCATGGACGTTCACACTTACTGCACTAGGGACACATAATCCGTAATTAGACGTAGCTCGCGGGGTATACTCAATGTACCATGGTAGCTCACTCTGAGTGTTTGGGGTGAGGTGAGGTGAACCGGGGCTATAGCTGCCTTTAAGATTATTGTACATATATACTAGCGATGTGCATGCATGCATGCGCGCGCGTGCGTGCGTGCGTATATGTATGTGTGTTTGTGTGTGCTTATGTGTGTGTCCTCTTGCACTACTGTGAACTAATGCTGGTTTTAATGGTGTCATCACTGATTTTCAGTGATCCAGTGATATAATTTCTACCGCTATTTTGCCTTTTACACAAAAGGAATCTGTTTCGGTGGATATGCGATTAATGTTTCTCTCTCTGGAGTTGGCGTTCTGTATTAACAACGCTAGCCCATTGAGATACCATGCTGCAGTTCAACATGGATACCCTATGACAGTATACTGACTCCAAGCCGACCAGTCCTTGTTTAACCCCGTCATGCCATTCGCCAAGCAGGGTAACAACAAGTACTCTCTTTTCAACGTCGTTTGATATGAAGCTCTAACGGCTGACGCTTTATCTACTTGACCTCGTAGTGCTTGGAGGAATATGAGGAGGAATATGAGGCTTCAGCGTTTATCTTCACATTGTTCTGGACAGTGGGTTATAGACACCAGTGTGTAATTTGTTCAGCGATAATAAAACCAAAACGCCCAGCAATAACTGCACTAATAACATATACTAATCAGGTCCTATTCTGAATCGCACAAACGACTGTCATGGCTAAGTTTAAGTGACCGAGAGAGTCGGGTTAAACGCCGCTGTGAACAGTATTTCAGTTATATCACGGCATCTCAGCTTGATATGGGAGGAAAACCAAAGGTGAGGCAGGTCTAAGACGTTTACAACTATGTTGAAACCCACGATCACAGGAATTGTGCTGACAAACTTAGAAGCATGATCAGGGCGAACAGGGAGTTCGACCAACGATCATAGGTTTCTGGCACGTCTAAGGGGCGTGACTCTGCACAGCGAATACCTATAACACGTATGGTAGGGTATGTGACAGTTTCATCAATTATGGTTAACTTTTGTTTCCTGGATGACCTAGATTATAGAACAGAACTAACTAGTAAGTCATTAGGGAGCCCAAACCACAATTTTGGATGCGGTTAAAAAGCTCACTATTTACCGAACTGAAGAACGTCTCTTTTAGTAATAGCTCGTCTATCAATAAACCTCGAACATAATCTAATCCCTAGTACATTACATTGTAATACTTCCTGGTCCGGAAACTAGGTCTCTATTGTCGGTAATGAGAACGAAAAATCCAATAAGCAAACCACTAAAAAATCGGCCACAAAGCTTTAGATGTCCTTGAACAGAAAATAGATCGCAGTGATAACATTTATGACTCCTCGATCAGGGTTAGACTTACGAACGAGATACCCCTAGCAAGGCTAAAGTACCAATACAAGTTGACGTTATTATGGAACTATACAGGTGTACTTAAGAGCAGGTGCGTCGTCAGTGCTGTCTGACGTGAGATTGGTTTAATGATGCTAGACTCTCACAAGTATGCTCGAGGGTCACTCTTTCACGTTGTACCATACTTACAGAGCTACGGACATCAGCTGATGTTTACATAAGCTCTCCAGCTTTTATGAGACATCAAACTAGCGTTCAAAACTTGAAACGGTTGATAAAATATTAACACGAAAATAATCCATATGACAAACCGGAGAGCCACGGTCCTCTACAGCTTTAATTATCGTATATTTGAACGGACAACAAAACATCGCAATGACTCGGGGAACGTCTGTTGTAATACTGTGTATATTGATGAATATCGGTCATACACTGATTATGATATGCAATTAAATATCCATAGACATTGATTATGATATTAAAGGTAAACGAAATCAACATGAAAGCTAACCCGTGAAGATCCGGGGTAGAATATGTCTTCAGCAACCCATGCTTGCCGTAAAAGGTGACTGTGCGGCTAACGGGATCGGGTGGTCAGGCTCGCTGACTTGGTTGATGCATGTCATCGTGTCCCAATTGCGTGGATCGATACTCATGATGTCAATCACTGGTTGTCAGGTCCAGACTCGATTATTTACAGACCGCCGTCATGTAGCTGGAATATTGCTGAGTGCGGCGTTAAACAACAAACAAACAAACAAATAACATGAAAGCTTTTCATGCTAATATATCTTTATTTCCATTTACAGACCTGTATAAAAAATATTAACTGAATCTTAAGCTTGTGGTAGCATCTAACAGTTTCAGCATCAGCTTAATGTGGGAGGAAAGCCCGAAGTGGTGCAGGTCTCAGACGTTAACCACTTTGGTGAAACCCACGAGCACGGTATGGTGCTGACAAACATGAAACATAATTATAGGTTTCTGGCGTGCCCAAGGGACGCATCACTGCATGGCGAATAATATGATTATGTTTCATGTTTGTAAGCACCATACATTGCTCGTGGGTTTCACCAAAGTATAAACATCTGAGACCTGCATCACTTCGGGCTTTCCCCCAACATTAAGCTGATGCTCCGTGATATGACTGGAAAACTGTTAAACCCAACTCTCTCACTCACTAATATTTGATATCTACTCTTACTAAAGCTCAAAGAACAGGCGTCAGGGGTTCAGAGTTACCTACCCTGTCAGCTGGTACGACTATATCAATGATGTTACCACCCGCTCAAGATTCAGTTAATTTCTTTTAGACAGGTTTGTAAATCGAAATAAAGATATTAGCATAATTAGCTTTCATGTTGTTTGTTTGTTGTTTAACGCCGCACTCCGCATGTTCCTGCTGTATGATATTCCTGCCTGTAAGTAATCGACTCTTGACCTGACAATCCAGTGACAGACATCATGAGCATCGATCCACGCAATTGGGACATGATGACATGCATCAACCAAGTCAGCGAGCCTGACCACCCGATCTCGTTATCCGCCTCTTACGACAAGCATAGTCACATTTTACGGCAAGCACGGGTTGCTGAAGAGATATTCTACCCGGATCTTCACCGGGCCATCCCGCATAAGCTCTATTGGGAACATTTCAGGGGAGTCAGCAGGCTGGTCCATTGTCCGTCAGCATTCTCGTCGGAGATTAACGGTGAAGACCTGGGTACGATATGGTCTGGCATTGTCATCTTGCCAAGAGTTCAAAATTTCTGCGAATGGAAAAACGACAGGACCCAACATTTCGGCAACAAACACGTGTTCGTACGTCTTCTCGTCGGAGATAAACGGTGAAGACCTGGGCACGATATGGTCTGGCATTGTCATCTTGCAGTTAAACATTTCTGCCGATAATTTTAGCGAAAGGAACGACAGAACGCAAACTGTCGTCGAACATATCGCTGGCCACTCCAATGTCAATTCACAATGACCAAATCAGTTCACCTGTCATGTGTCATACCGCCCCACACCATGACACTACTGCCTCCATACCGATCAGTATAGTTGCCCTGACATACCGTCGCCAACAACGTTTTCTGTCATCTGTGAATCGGAGGCAAAACCTTGACCCTGATGTTGCCAAGCCAACCGCAGTCTTTGCCACCTATGGTGACCCCCTTCACGGGACGCCTTACTTTCAGGCGGGCTGCATAGAACCAGTTTTTAACGGTAGATTTGGCATTCGCCTCCCTCTTCTTGTTTGGAATTCTCTTTTGATAACAGGATAACAGATTTGAATCTGTTGCGTAGTGCAATTAAGGTCTGTTCAATGAGATACTGTTTCGGAGGCATTTTAAGGCGCGTGCTTAGCTCAATTGCATTAGTGATTGTAAATTTCCCTATAGACGGACACGATTCTGTGTACACGTGCATTACGTGATGTTCATGCATGATGTGAAATTTCGTTGTGATTAGATGCTGTGTTCAGATGCAAGGCCATGTCACATGTACAATGTTATATCAGTTCCCTTACTATTTGTCGGTATGATATAGATGTTTATCAAACTAGACACGAGGTAATATTGGGACACCGGGTTCACTGCCCACGTACAGTTTCTACGAGTTTAACGCCGCTTTTAACAGTTTTCCAGTTATATCGCGGCGTGTCAGCTTAATGTGGGAGGAAAGCCCCAAGTGATGCAGGTCTTAGACGTTAACCACTTCGGTGAGACCCACGAGCACAGGTATGGTGCTGACAAACCTAGAAACATAATCGGGGCGAACCGGAATTCGAACCCACAATCATAGGTTTCTGGCGTGCCCAAGGGACGCAACTCTGCACAGCGAATCGCGGCGCCTTAGCAACTGGGCCACCCGTCCCCCCGATTTTCTTCCAAGTACAGACCCAATGTAATTACGCTTGTTCACAAGCTGACCAGGGGCAACTTCATTAAGCTGGCTTTATGGGATAAAACTATTAGCATCCTTATTGCACGCCAGGTATGATAGCGGGGCTTTTCACCTGTGGAATTACCTTGCATTCCGAGTTTAATCCGCGGTTGTTTGCGACTCCGTGATCATGAACTGATTATTCGTCTGGTTAATTGTATGGGGTATTAGAGCAGAGTACACAGCATTGCATGTGTGAGGGGCAGTTCTGTAGACTGATGGATGTTTTGGTGCTGCACGGTAGTTATCAGGCTAATGAGTGCCAGAGGACGATGTCACCCTATTGCACAGTTAATTCCTGTGTATTTGCCATTAAAACATAGTTTCTGTATGTTGGTATTTAAACAAAACTTTAAATGAATTAATAGGTTGGAAGGGTTACATACATGATAGTATCCCCCATCTGATATGTGATATTAGTGAGTGAGTTTATCTGATAGTAGCGTGTGTGTGTTTGTGTGAGTGAGTGCATGGCGGTTATATCTGTAAGTGGGTTTAGTTTATGTGATAGTGTTTG